ATATATATAATGTACACTGTATGTGAGCCAACCACAGGGAGAGATTCCATTCGAGAATGTTTTACTAAATATAGAGGCAGTGATTCCCCAAAGCTTTCCTTTGATGGCACTGTAGGAGAGAAGCGAGAGACGGTAACTGCAGCTCACTGATTATATTACCCTTTCTCGTTACACGGGTATGCTAGTCACCGAGAGAGGAAGGGTAGGCAGTAAACACAAAGAGGAAGAGAGTGGAAGACGGAAAGAGGCCCCGGCAGAGGGAAAGAGGTGGGGGTTCGGATGCTCCAGACACCCCGCTTCAGGGAGTTGACGCAACACGGCTCCCCAATCAAATACAATCAATCAATTCAAATGCCCGTTAGCGGAATGGCAGTCTACTCTGAGTCAATAAATGGTTAATAATAAATAATCTTACGTAGAGACGCACAGAAACATCGGATTAATCTTTCCTAATAAGAAAAATATATTCTGGCACTGTTAATAATATTCCGTTATTTTCTGTAAGGTTCCTTAAAGTTATTTCTTCAAAGCGACTTTTTTAAATACGTTTCAGAGCAATGTTATTATAAATTTATTAAATATAGGCCCATGACAATACTGTATTTGCAATAACTATAGGGAAATTACTGGAACAAGTTTATTCCATGCTGAAAAGTGAAGAAAACACAACTTTTGGGCTGTGGAGCCTTCTTCGGGTGTAAGCTTAGTTACACCCATTTACACCCAGGAAGTTACTGCACGAGTTACTTTAAAAATATTTAAAATGGACAGGACAAATAATATGTACATTCTTTAACACACTTGTATAACATTATTAATAACAAGCCTTTTAGACGCCATATTATTTCAGTCGGAAAACTGAAATGGTGTAAGAGTAGTCTTAGTAGTCTTAGTCTAAGTAGTCTTAAGTCGTGATTTAAGTACCTACTGTAGCTGTGTCAGCATTTCTAGGCTGCAAAGGAACAAGTAAAGGTTTATTCCCTGCTGAAAAGAGAAGAAAAGAAGCACAACGTTTTGGCTGTGGAGCCTTCTTCAGTTGTGAGCCTTCCGCTAAATCTTTTTTTAGATCTCTCCATCAGTCCTTCTTCTCCTCCCTGAACTACTTGCCCACTTCTCTCACCAAACCAGCATTTCCCCTCTTCACAGTGACTGATCTGTTCCAAGACCAGGCTTTCTAACCACCTCTTGTCCCTTTACAAATGTCATAGTTATAATTTAATTCCTACAGGATTTAATCTGAAATCTAATACCTTTTCTTGTTCTAAACCTTTACTTGTTCCTTTGCAGCCCATGCATGCTATTTCACAAATGGAGCCAGGATTATTTTCACTTTTATGGAACATTGAATCACAAAGAATTGGTTACAGGCGATTTTGTTCAACCGGGATCAACATGCAGTTTTTGCGTAAAAGCCTGAGGTTCACTTATTAGGGCCCTGTTGTATGACACACGACTGAAGAGCACAGTAAATTCTTAATGAGCAGCGGTACCGTAAAACGGAACAACCTTGTTGTATTTTAGATATAAAATATAAGTTAAAAAATACAGTTGCTGACATTGATTTTATTTTTAATAGAAAATATCACTGATCAGAGTCTGTAAATCAATTACAGAATTTCCAGTCCCCCTCTCCTTCACCTTCCCCTTCCCCTCCAGCCTATGGTCCTATGATCCCCAGGCTGTGGGCTATGGCTATGGTCCTGGTGAGACAGACCGGGAGCCTGATCATATCAAATTATTCATCCTCCTAAATAAGCTGAAAGCCAGCTCCATAATGCAATAATGCATTATAATGCATAATGAGGGTGTGAGGTGAGAACTGAAGTCAGTTTTGTTCCTACTGTAATGCTCAAAGGTTCGCCGATGGAAAGAAACAGGCCAGAGGCTCTGACAAGGGTTGGCAGGATATGTTTTAAAGACTCCTGGGAGGGCTACACACATAGGGACAGGGGAGATATAGCACTGCACCACACCATGCAGACACAAAACAGCAGAGGGCGTCTCCAGCCCTCGTCCCACTATATACAGGCGGGAAGTCCCGCCCCTCAGCCGCCATTCCCAGCCTGCCTTGCATG